ATAATTGATTAAATAATAAGTAAATGATACAATGAACGAATAACGTTTATTATTTTTATAATTTACGTTCCTGTATTTTCACATTCCACATTTCACATGTATCTCGAGATACATGGTCGAAAACATACGTGTGCATACGTGTTACGTAAACGCAAGGAACGACCTGCTTGGTATCGAATCTCGATCATCCTCGACTCGATATCTCGAGGGGTGCTCTCCAGCACATATATCGCTCCATTACCGTATTGATAATTTCCATTTTTGGAAATTGCATTGTTAGCTAGTATGCTTGAAAGACAACCGAGAAAAACCTATCTCGGGTTGAAATTAATAATAGCCGGTGAATGCATAGGTTTTGTGGGAACGTTCCTATTCTTCCAGTATATGAGATCGTCTGAAAGTAAGTTCCTCCGCCAGTGCGCATACCCTTCTTATACTTAGGTTAGTCCCATTCTCCCATTTATAGAGCTCAGACATTTATAGTAGTGACACGATTAAATGGAACAGTTAATATCTTAGAAACTGAGTATACAAGTAAGCAAGTTCCGCGAAAGAAAGAAACATCTAAACAATGGATATTTCGTTGTTCATTGAAACCTAGGTTCACGTTGGTGTAGTATGATGTAGTGTAATGTGTAATTGATGAAATTTCTGTAAATATATGTGTGGAACGAGGATTGGAATGATCGTTGTAATTGTTAGGTTCCAGATACTATATGCACAAGCACTTTCCACTACTGCTAGATGGTTTCTATAGTCTTGAGGATATGATGTTTAAGGAGAATTCCAAATTGTCAGACATCGCATTGTGGCAACGACAGCAAAATGAGAATTAAATCTAACGGAGTTCGAAAAACTTCCAACAGTTTTAATAGGTAGTGATGGTTTACAATTGACAAACAGAAAAGGTATTTATATACATATACCTCGTATGTAAAATACATTTTACGGGTTCGTTCATGATTAAAATTCGGAATAAAGTATAGTTTATACATTCTCCTTCTCCATTCTAATCATGTCTCCTAATTTAAATACCAATTTTAATTTAAAGACCCCAATTTAATTTCCTAATGTAAATTTTTCATTGTTTACTGAAAAAATGTTATTTTTTTTTACTTTGCAGTTATTCTTCGAAAGCCTTTAAATATAAAGCTCTTGAATGTTCCGTAATAAGCTATTGGTGAAAATAATATATTGAAAGCTGAATGATATACAAGATATAACATTTGAAGGAAGTGATATTCCACGTGCAATATGGATTCGCCTGCTTTGATAGAAGGCAGTTTGTCGGAACGTATCACTAAACGGGATCGCGAGAGGAAGAGCACAATCGAGAGACGGAAAGAGGAGAGGCAATCGTTGGCCGTTGAATCCGAACAGAGTAGCTATTTTAAGGACACATTTTACTCGTCCAGCAAGAAAATCAAAGACACGTTAGACGATGCGCCTAACGCCCCCACGTCGGCTCTTCCCGGGATATTTGATAAAACGAATAAGGATATTCAGCTGCTTAAGAATTACTTGTCGCAGTCGAAGATGTTCTTGAAAGTTTATGATATCAGGAAGGCGCAGGAAAATTTACAATTGTTGGAGAGCGAAGCCTCCGATTTAGAAATGAAACTGTTGCCGAAAAAGAAGTTCGGCTTCAAAAACCGACGGGTCGTAAAAAAGGCTACCGATAAATCACACGATATGACGGACGGTCTGAAGGATTTGAAAATATCAGAAGGAATTGTGAACGGTTCAGGCAAACAGAATCATAAATTGTCCAGCAAATACGGCGACAGTGCGTGTATGCTGCTCGGGAAGGTTGATGAACAATTAGTTTTGGATGCTGAGAACGTGAACAAGAACGATGTTCTGATTTCCGATTTAATTCGTTGTACAGTAAGAATATATGGCACGCCTAGTACTTTACACATGGTAAACTTGAAACAGTGTACCATATTAGTCGGACCAGTGACGTCGTCGGTGTTCGTCCACGACTGTAGCGAGTGTGTATTCGCATTCGCGTGTCAGCAGCTCCGGCTACATTCGTCGACAGATTGTACTATTTATTTACACGTTACGAGTAGATCCATTATAGAAGATTGTACGAGGATACGTATAGCGCCTTACAACTGGACTTACGACGATCAGGCAAATCATTTTAATCTAGCAGGTCTCGATCCGAAAATAAACAATTGGAATTGCGTGGATGATTTTAACTGGTTATCAAACGAGAAGCATTCACCGAACTGGAGCGTCCTAGAACCCGAATCAAGAGTTAAAAGTTGGGATTAAATAACGAATTTGGTCACAGCGGCGAATATTCAGTTCTACGGATATCATCTTTTTTCAACGTTAGATATTTATTTTATTATAAAAATCCTGTACGTGCATACTCTGCTTTTTCACAGAAATTACACTATATGTAAGTGTTTTGTATACTTACAGAATGTTTAATAAAATTCGCTGTTCGTGAATTGCATATATCCGTGTTCCTTCCATGCCTCTTTTTTCTGAGACACCCTGTGTACTTACAATTAGTGGCAACAGGGACTAATCCTCCCTGGATCATCCATACCCTGCAGCTACTGAGGTCTGCACTTCTTTTATTTTTTCTACCTGCGCCAGGGTCGAGCCCATTTCAACTTCTACCGAATTACCTAGGGGCAATAGGGATTAACACCCCCTGCAGTTACCAAGTGCAATTTCTCTGGTCGTTTGCGCGTCTTTGTTTTCTGTATCCTAAACCTAAACCATAAATTGACCATGTCGACACTTTCGGTGACCGTCGGGACCTTCGAGCATTGCTCGATAGTTGAGACCTTGGCGTAATTTCCTAGTAACAATGATTTGTTTCGTTAATTATTGCACAGCCTTACCAAAATTTAGAAATTTGCGCTCCGCAAAATTTTCTAATATTGTCTATTGAAGTTTAAAGTTTATACACTTTAGAAACGCATTTTTTAAAAAGAAATCAGACGTCGGGAGAAGAGATATTTACAATGAAAATTGATTCATCAATTATAGCAGAAGAGGTGCATTTGTATAAATAATGTATCTGTAGAAGTCTGTGTAATTCTGAGATTTTATGAAGAATAGTGGGGAGTTATCATTTGTGGGGGTACTGTAGAGAGCATGAGAAAGCATGACCAGAGCACAGGAGAGAAATAGTAAAACGTGAACAAGAACGATGTTCTGATTTCCGATTTAATTCGTTGTACAGTAAGAATATATGGCACGCCTAGTACTTTACACATGGTAAACTTGAAACAGTGTACCATATTAGTCGGACCAGTGACGTCGTCGGTGTTCGTCCACGACTGTAGCGAGTGTGTATTCGCATTCGCGTGTCAGCAGCTCCGGCTACATTCGTCGACAGATTGTACTATTTATTTACACGTTACGAGTAGATCCATTATAGAAGATTGTACGAGGATACGTATAGCGCCTTACAACTGGACTTACGACGATCAGGCAAATCATTTTAATCTAGCAGGTCTCGATCCGAAAATAAACAATTGGAATTGCGTGGATGATTTTAACTGGTTATCAAACGAGAAGCATTCACCGAACTGGAGCGTCCTAGAACCCGAATCAAGAGTTAAAAGTTGGGATTAAATAACGAATTTGGTCACAGCGGCGAATATTCAGTTCTACGGATATCATCTTTTTTCAACGTTAGATATTTATTTTATTATAAAAATCCTGTACGTGCATACTCTGCTTTTTCACAGAAATTACACTATATGTAAGTGTTTTGTATACTTACAGAATGTTTAATAAAATTCGCTGTTCGTGAATTGCATATATCCGTGTTCCTTCCATGCCTCTTTTTTCTGAGACACCCTGTGTACTTACAATTAGTGGCAACAGGGACTAATCCTCCCTGGATCATCCATACCCTGCAGCTACTGAGGTCTGCACTTCTTTTATTTTTTCTACCTGCGCCAGGGTCGAGCCCATTTCAACTTCTACCGAATTACCTAGGGGCAATAGGGATTAACACCCCCTGCAGTTACCAAGTGCAATTTCTCTGGTCGTTTGCGCGTCTTTGTTTTCTGTATCCTAAACCTAAACCATAAATTGACCATGTCGACACTTTCGGTGACCGTCGGGACCTTCGAGCATTGCTCGATAGTTGAGACCTTGGCGTAATTTCCTAGTAACAATGATTTGTTTCGTTAATTATTGCACAGCCTTACCAAAATTTAGAAATTTGCGCTCCGCAAAATTTTCTAATATTGTCTATTGAAGTTTAAAGTTTATACACTTTAGAAACGCATTTTTTAAAAAGAAATCAGACGTCGGGAGAAGAGATATTTACAATGAAAATTGATTCATCAATTATAGCAGAAGAGGTGCATTTGTATAAATAATGTATCTGTAGAAGTCTGTGTAATTCTGAGATTTTATGAAGAATAGTGGGGAGTTATCATTTGTGGGGGTACTGTAGAGAGCATGAGAAAGCATGACCAGAGCACAGGAGAGAAATAGTAATGGGGGGGGGGAACGCGTTGCGAGGGGCGAAGAGGAGAAGGCGAAAAGTCCTTCCTCCTTGAAAAGTCTTTCATAGCAACGCTAAGGCGCCGAGGGGGGGAAATAGGAGAAGGAACAAAGAAAAGAAGAGGAATAGAATGAGGAAGAGTAGTAATTAATAGACAAAGTGGAAGCGAATTCAGAACGCGAATGATAGCGAGAAAATGTGGAGACATCAATGCGCGAATGGTCATGTGCGTATTAATGGCGATGTGTAGAGGGAAGCATGGCGACGCGAGGTGGAGGTGGAGCGAGGCACGGACGATCGCGATTGGATCCAATCTTGATTCATTTTGATTTTCGATTTGATCTGACCCGAATATTCAAAAGAAGCGAAAGAAGCTGGATTGAACTCGAGTAGCACAAATAAACCGAGTAACTCGTGCGAATTAATCAAATATCAAAAGTAATTTACAAAACTTAAGCGTACTGCGATTCGATTTCTTAGATCGGGTCGGAAGCATCGAACTAATCGAAGATTTGATTTCTTTTTCGGCACTTCTATTTCTCGGTGAATTCTGTTAGCGCTCCCGGTTTCTGCGCTTCCGCTTCCTTGGTAGCCCTCCCGATTTCTTTGTTTTCGCTTCCCGGTCTAGCGTTGCCGTCGTTTGCCGGCGACGACGACAGCAACGAACAGAAAGAAGAGATAAAGGGGATCGCAGGCGGCGTGTTTGGGAGACGACAACTAAAACCAACAAGGGAAAAACGACGGTGATATATAAGCTAAAGCGAAAATGCGAGTAAAACTCGCGAATAACTAAATAAATAGAATTTTAGATTTTATTCCAAAATATAGTGTTGAATTTAAGCATGAATTTTGCTTCTACAAGCGTCTCTGCAAATGTTCTGTGCCGAGCAGTCCTTTGTTCCTAATCGTCCAGGCCTTGACACCCTCGTCAGTACCTGAAGTCTCGTTATCGGGCTTGAACAAAGACATTTATGGCCCAAAGCTTGGGCATCTTGAACCCATCGGTCCCGTACTTTCTCTCGGTCGACTGACCGTCAGATTGTTTTTCTTACAAATGCATGACGAATGAAGGAAAATGGGGGACCGTAGTCCAGGCGAGAGGGATTCATTTCGCTGAACGGAACGGCAGTTGCGATGCACACGAATGGCAAGCAAACCGAATGGAAAATTTAATTTTTGTAAAAATTGATAAAATTGCGATAGTATACGTGACTCCACAAATAAAAATCTAAAGGAGTAAGATCTGGAGATCTCGGAACAGTTCCACCTCGGCCAATCCAACAGTTGCACCTCTGATTTTATAAGTAAAAACTTGATTTTCTCGAGAATGACGACCCGTATGAAAGAACTATATTCTTTGTTTTCTACTAGATTTTATATGAGGAATCATCCCCTTGCCTTGTACCACGATTTCGCAAACACCCTGTACAAATTGGTTTATCCATTGTTGCGATATTAATTCTTCAATGAATCGTTTCTACGGTTTATTATAGTAATCGTCTGTTTATTAACTACGATAGATTTCTAATATCATAAATGTAACTTTTGTTTCCTGATAAGATTAAACATCCTGACAGAAAGTGTAGGCATTTTTTAATCGTTGCTGCCAATTAAAATATTGCATTTTTTTTGTTATAATTATGCTCGAGAAGCCCCATTTTATTGAAACTTATAAAACTGTATCGGCGTTCAAAATCCCCCTCCCAAATCTTGTTACTGGCTAAGTCGCGTGGAGGTACGATTCACGATCAGGGATCTCAGAGTTTATCCCTCGGCCGGAAAGAGCGGACGACGCGACCATGCTTGGTACCATGGTACTTACTTGAAGGGGAAATGCTAGGCATAGTCAGCGAAGGCGCATGAGGAGAATAGTAGTGGGGATCGAAATACCGGCGACAAAGAGGGAGGCGGGCCGTGCGGGAAAAGTTTTACGACCCTTGCTGACGATGTCACTGTCAGACGAGCTTCAGCGATCGTGCGAGTCGGAACCGAGGATTATTTTGCAAAATGGGTGATCGTGCTCCAGTGAACGTAGCAGACAATGAGTCAGATCAGTCAGACATCGATGAAGTTTACGTGCCACCTGAACCACCCTTGTCACCTCCGCCATCTCCACCTGGACTATCGCCGCCTCCGTCTCCTCCGGCAAACGTCGCTCCTCCGGTTGCCGGAAATGCCGTTGGTAGAAACGCGGGTGGCAGAAACGTCGGTGCCGGAAATGTCGTTGCCGGAAACGCGGTTTGCAGAAACAGTGTTGGCAGAAATATTGAAGGCAGAAATACCGTTGGCAGAAACGCTGTTGGCGTCCATAATGATACTGTCACCCTGCCGCGGGTCAACCTGCCGGTAGGTGTGCGCCGGTGGCGGACGAGAGTGAATGATGAGCGTTACGTGCTGCGGCGAGAGACCGAGAGCCGGAGTGTGTCGGTGTCATTCCACGTGGTACCATCGACGTGTAAGTATATTCAGTATGTTGTATTCGATGTTGACGGTGATGCGCATGTTTCACGTGTTTTAATTTTCGTTTTTTCTCTTCTTTCTTCCATGTTTTGTTTCCCGGGAACAGCGACGGGCAGAGAGACGAGCGGAACGGCGACATCGTCGGCGTCGGGTACCGATAGTCAGCGCAACGGCAATGTACCTAGTAAGTATACGTTCACATATATATTTATTTACACATAAATACATACGTACGTGTATATGCGTACGCAGTGGCATGCGTATGTTTACGTGCATACTTGTTGATACACAGAAATCTTTGCATCTTCGGGAAATGGCTCGTATGTTCATGAAATTAAAACTTGTCTTTCATTGTCGTGGTCGCTTGAAAAATTGTCTTTCGATGTAGCTAGAATTTCGTTTCGCATTTGTTTTGGAGGCCTTTTGCCGACTGTGTAATTTTTTCTAAGATGCTACCGTCCAGTATCTTTACAAATATGTATGTTATTTTCGTCGTCCTTGTGTCGTTGATATTTCAATTTCACGTGCGATTTACGTTTCGCATTTTATTATTTGACTGTAGGAGTATCCGCTTTGCGGATGAGGCATCAACAACGTCGAGCGGCTCATCAAAGTGCGGCGCTGACCTGGGCGTTGGCAGGGATTAACTCCGCGTCCAGCAGACGTCCCGAGCGACGGCTGAATGTCAGCCACGTAGTCGACGACGAGGCTCGTCATCGTCGTTTACATCATAGTTATAGCGACGAGAACAGCAATAATATATTCGACGGCGGGCGGTCGCGGTCACTGCTCCGGTGCCGGAGGAGCCGGTCCGCCGAACGGCTGAGGCCGACGACGAGAACGGAACGGCCGAACGATCGTCGCCATCGCTATCATAGCTGCAGCAGCGGTGACAACAGCAGCAGCAGCAGCTACAGCAGCAGCAGCAGCAGCAGCAGCAGTAGCAGCATCAGTCGGCATCGTATGAACACGTCGCAGTCAACGGCGCTGCAGATATTGAGATTGACGACCAATTTCGTTTGCGGAGGTGAGTTGATTACACTAACGTTTCTCAGTTTTTGCAATCTGTATCACGTGATTCTTATAAAGTTCCTCGTGCCAAACACGAATCTGGAAACAGAATTGCTTTATCACGTACCGTTCCCGAAAAAACGTTGATTTTGTAAAAATGCATGATTTTCGGGAAAAATGAGGTACTTCACGTGATAGGTATTGTAAAAATGGTGTGTTAATCATTGCGTATGGTCACTCGCATTTGTAGTCGATGTTGATAAATGTCATGTGCGATTTTCTTGTTATTTTGCAGATATCATACCAGACGGTAATCGCAGCAATATCGAAGAGGAGGTTTCAAGCCGGCCGCTGCGTATGTAGCGGCAGTTCAACCGAAGACGTGACTGATTCTCAGATTCAAAACAGAATCACTAAAACGACTAACGTTTTTTTAAATTTTATTTCTTTTTTCGAGTAGCGATCGCGTTAAATTTGACTTCAGAGTTTAGTTCAGTGTAGGGAACAGGTTCGAGCATATAAATATACGTAGATATACACAAATATACGTAGATATACACATATATACATAGATACGTACGTAGACAAGCAGATATGCGAAGAGATCGATGGATCGATGGGCAGTATTGTAATTCATAGTAGACAGCCAGGGAATATTTGTCTTTAGATCTTCAGAGTTCAAGTTTTCTTCAAGCTGTTTTTGAGTTATTGTCGATTTGTCGTTTGGAGGTATACACTATTTTGCGTATAAGTTTCGTTGTCCGAGAAATGACCACCATACTTGCGACCAGTGGGAGGCGCGTGCCACGTGACGAGGTGCGGGTGGACGAGCAACAGGTGGATCCAGTGGAAAAACAGCCGCCGGCTCGTGACGCAGACCGCCGTAGCAAAAGGGTTAACAAAACATGTAGAAAGATGAATATTAACCCTTAACACTTCAAGTACTACTTAATTATAATTTAATATTGTAATCAAAATTATATTACTCCTTATATGAATAAAAATTGTTATAAATAACTTTAATATTATTTACACGCCATTGTAGCAATTAAAATCTGACACTTAAAAAGTTGCAAGTCGAAGTATGATGAGAAT